ATACATTTAATAAAAGTATAGTTTGAAACCTTTTACTGTATAAAAGAACTTTCCAGATTATCAAATGGGGTCCTTTCAGAGTATCTACAAAGAATAAGTTTATGTTGTTTATTGCTTAAAAAATAACTCTCAGAAATACATTTTAGAGCAGCAGGAAGCACCTTGTGGGTTCAGTGTTGGAATTTAAACTGCCCCTGCCAACAAGCAGAAGACAAGAACATCCGAGATGTTAAAACCTTCTGCTCTGGGAGCTCGGAAAACAGAGCACCGAGCAGGAAAATGTTTACTGGGTAAGAGAGAGAAGGAAACAGGGCTGTGTTTGTTTTCCCCTCCGGGATTAGTTCTCCGCCTGCTGCAGGGAGGAGCAGCGTTGCTGTTCGCGGTCTGCTGCGATGAAACTCGGTGTCTCAAAGGGAGAGCAACGATTTGTGTCTCCGAGCCTGACACCCTCTGCCCGCGGCATCAGCAAAGCAAAGCGTGCGGACGAGCCCTTGCTAAATTAAGGGCAGGATTTTGCATGGGCTCAACGGTATTTAGGGGTTTTTGTATCAGTTTCTTAATTACCCCTCAACGCTTTCATTCTATAGGTGCAACGTGACTGGGGTTAAGATTGTCCTAATCAAGGATTATTTAAAGAGTTTCAAAAAAAAAGTGTTGCATGTTGTAACAACGTAACATGATGTATTGCAATGTAACATCGTGTGTTGCATAATTTCCTGACGTTTTCTGGCTGAAAAGTCCCCAAGCAAACGAGTTTCACTCGTTATATCATGTCACAAATATGCATTTTAACCCAGGGTTTACTCTTCCTGTTTCCTGAGCGTGTATTAAGGCAAGTCCACTTCTTGGCAATCTTTTCTACCTGTCACTCTTTGTCTCAACTTGCACTGTAACTTTTAAAGACAAAGTCTGGCTTTTGCTTTACTCTCTTTGTACCATGATCTGGTCAGCTTTTTTTTTTTGGCCATCAGCATTTACCAGTTTTCATTGCTCAAAACCCAGCCTGTGCTCTAAGGCTTATGAAACACATTATTTTATCAGAAATAACTGTCATATGTCGAGGATGAGTGATTTCTGTGTGGATTGGTTTGGTTTCTGCTTGACTTTCCTTACAATCAGGATTCAGTTTTCATACTGAAGCAATGGTAAAAAATCAGTTTCCCTTTTGTCGGAGTTTTTCATGTGAAAGTTTAATAACATACCTTGAAACTTCAGACTCTCCTATTAGACCCACTAGGACATTTTTATGAAAGATAAAGCTTTCAAGGTAACAGCAAATGGCAATATTTTCAGTAGAAGTTTATATGGCACTTGGGGACATGGTTTAGGGGTGATTATGGTGGTGCTGGGTTGGTGGTTGGATTAGATGATCTTGAAGGTCTCTTCCAACCTTGATGATTCTGTGAGTTCCTTATATCTCATCTCCTGTTGTAAATATGACTTCCTTAAAAGATAGACTCTATTAATGTTTATTAATAGATTCATTAACTTTATTAATGTTTATTAATAGATATTAAAATATTGTTTGACTTTGAAGTCAGTAGATTTTTTTTTTCTACTTCCCTTTAGAACATTTTCTTTAAAATATCTTTGTAACCATAAGATACAATATGAGATCACGGTCTCTGTCTTTCTACTTCATCTGTGATTATACAGGAAAATAATCTTGTATATCCCTTGTTTTGAAACCCTCCTGTTCAGTGGTTGTGTATTTAACAGTTTTATTTTGCCTGAAATTGTAGTCAGAGTAATTTTGCTGCAGAGCTGAGGAAGGCAGCTCTGTAAAGTGATCTGCTGTGTTTTAGTTGCCTGCAGTGCTTGCTGGTTCGCATCATAATCCTAATTTCACATCCTCAAATACTTCTCTAGTCTTCCCAATCTTTTCTCCTCCTTAGAGAACTGCTTTGGTAGTAATTCTGTCTTTATCTGATGTCCCTAAAGGTGCCTGACCAGCTCCATTTCCCCTAACCAAGCGTGTTCTCCAAAAGCCTCCAGGGGCAGAGCTGTTTGTGTGTTGGAGCAGCCTGTGATTAAAGGGAGGTACAATCAGCTTCACCTCTGTGTGTCTTTGCACATAAACCTGGGGGTTTATTTCAGGGAAAGCTGAAACTCCAGCTCATGACTGACAACTTGATATGAAATTGTTGGCAACACTGATGAGAACTCTCCTCTCAGAGGTGTAACTCAATAATTCACACTATTAATTTCACCTTTCAATTTGAAATATTACCTTATAAAGAAACCCAGAAAGTATTTCAGTTCCAAGTAAATTTGACTGCAGAAATTAAATATCTCCCACTCCCTTTTTTTTTCTTAGAAGAAAATGCCACATACAGTCAACCTCCTGCACTTTTGGTCTTCTTGCTTGTTAATATCTCACATTATTGAAGATTGTTTTTAGAAAGGCCTTGCTTTTGAGACCCTCTCTCTTTGGTTTGTCCAATTAGTTCTGGCAACTCAGTTTACTGTATGATCTTAATATAATTTTTCTGGTCATTTCAATGTTCTGTTTTCCTTCTGCAGTTAGTTTACAGAAGAATTTAAGTACGATGTGAAAGATTATTTATAGGATGTAGGAAAAAAACAAGGTAGAAAGTAAACTTACATAAATAGGGGCTTATCAGTCAAAGCATTCTGCTTTACAGGTTAGTGAAGAAAATGACACCAATGTTTTCAGGAACTTGCTGGTTACCATTTTACTTTTTTGTACCTATGTTTATACATACCTTTGTAGGTTCTTCTATACAGAGGAGATACATTGCATGTTCTTTTGTATGCAGCTATACTATAGTTTTCTACCAACAAAATCACCAGGTTCTGCTGGACTTTTTCTTTAGGGGCACACAGGAAAAGCACATTCAAATTTTTTGCCCTGGGGTCCTGCAAGAGGTTGTAGACTGAGAGTACAGGAATTAGTGCAGATGTGAAGTGTTTCCTCCTCTGTGTTTCTCATCTCCAGAAAGCCCCACAATCTGAGCAGCACATCATGTTTTCTTTTTGAATCACACTTTAATTGTGCTTAACCAGAAAATGCTGTTCTGAGTTGCAATTCAGCTTCCCCCACAGTCATAAACCAATACACGTAGAATGCTCTCTTTTAAAGAAGAATTTGTTATGAAAGCACACCCTGAAAAGATGGAGAATGGCAGAGTCAGTAAATGGCAGGCAGCTGACTCCTCTGCCCATCTGTCCTCTGCTGCACATCCAAGTCATTCCACTCTCCTCTGAGGTACTGGGAACTCCTTCTCCACTGGTGCCAAACAGCAAGTTCAAAATACAGATGAATTCTGAGCAGCAGGAAAGGTGGTTTCAGTAAATTAAAGAAAAGTCCTGACTGTCATTCCCTTGCTTGGTGTCCCTGGCTTTAAATACTGCAGGGCACACGCTGGGGAAGAAATGAGCAGTTCCCAAGTCCAGCTCATTAGTTAGCAGGTTTTGTTGGTTTGAACTCAAGTCAGGTATGTGCATCTGAGGGCAGTGTTTGACTGGGTGTTTAGACACAGCCTAAATTGATAAATCTGTCTAGCAAAGTGCCTCTCTTGTCTTCCTTGAATTTAGGTTCATGATCTGAGCTTTGCTCATCGTAGCTTACTCCACGTGAATTTAAGTTGATGATAAATTAGTTTTATATATGGGTTGCTGCAACGTGCAATGGGCTCTCAAAGGACAAGAGGAAATTCATTCACCATTCCCCACCCCACCCCCTTGACACCTCAGCCCTCTCTTCTCCATTTCTTCTTCAGCCCTTGCAGCATTTGTGGTTACTTTTCACCTCCCACTCCTAAAACCATAACTCCTCCAGGGCTCCTGCAACCTGCTGACCCCTGAGGTGCTGGAAGAGGGACACACCACGGGGGGCTTTCCCTGCTGATGAACATCAGGCAGTGAAGCCTTTGGGCTGCCCATGGGTGGGGTCTGCACATCCCCCTGCCCAGGTGGGCTCCTGCCTGCCCCAGACCAGGGGGGCTGTTCCAAACTGGAGGGACCAGCTTGGCCCAGTGCCTGCCAGGAAGGAGCCAGGGCACAGCCAGGCTGTGGTGACAGCAGTGTCCTCCCTGCTGGTGGAAAGGGCCGTGTGGCTGCTGCCTGCAGACCCCACCAGCACCTGGAAGTGCTCAAGGACAGGCTGGACGGGGCTTGGGGCAACCTGGTCTAGTGGAAGTTGTCCCTGCCCATGACCAGGGGCTTGGAAGCAGATTACCTTTGTGGTTCCTTCCAACATAAACCATTTTACACGTTGGAGAAGTTCTGGAGGACTGTCTCCTATGGGAGGGACCACACAGGAGCGGGGGAAGAGTGTGTGGGGGAAGGAGCAGCAGAGACATGTGATGAGGGGCTGTGGTGGTTTCCTCAGGGACAGCCCAGACAGCCCTGTGGCAGCAGGAAAGGAGCACCAAAATCCCCCTGAAGACTCCAGTGTCCTGGGATATTTCCTGCCAGGGAATGGGGTGCTCAGAGGGCCTGGCTGTGCTTCAGGAGCAGTCAGGACATCCCTGTAGGTGACACCTGGAAGGCCCAGGGCAGCAGCCCCTGGAGCTGAGGGCTCTGTGCCCGTGTGCCATGCAGGGACTGGTGCCCATGGCTCTGGCTCTCAGCTCAGGGACCTGCCCATGGAGCACCCCCGGGCCAGGGGGCAGCTGCCAGCACAGCCTGAGCAGCCTGGGAGGTACCTGCCACTGCTCTCTCTGATTCTGGGATTCCAGCAGGACACCCCTTCTGCTCTGCTGCTTGGAAGGGCAGCCAGGGAGCAGGGAAACCCTCAAGGTTTGTGGGGTTCCCTCAGCTCAGGGGGACATCAAAGCTGGTGCCCCCGGGCAGGGGCTTCATCCTCAAGGGAGCCTAAATGAGCTGTACCCTCACTGTGGGACATTTGGGGGGCACTCCCAGAGGGGCTCAGTGTCTGCCCTGTTGCTGAGCACACTCTTTATCATTTCATTGTGCCTGTTCTGAAAACACATCCCAGGGTGAAATAACAATCCCATTTTCTCCCTTTATTTTAGTGTTGAAGCAGCTCTCCAGTGAGGTGACACACTCCAGCTCACCTGAGGGTGTCCTGATCCGTGAGGAGAGAGGAGCAGGAAGAATGGGGGAAGAAAGAGCCCAGGGATCTGGTATTTAAGAATGGGGGAAGAAAGAGCCCAGGGATCTGGTATTTAATCTCAGCTCTGTCACTGACCAACAGACGGTGTTTTAAGGTCACCTAAAGAATCTCAGATCACAGTGTGGCCTGGGGGAGATGCCCCATCACAGATAACACTTGTCTATTTTCGTCTGTGCTTTAGCTTTTCCTTCCATAAACTGATATTAGGAAACAATTTCAGTGTCTTTTTAGATCTCTCAGAAAGTTTACAATTAAAAAAAAAATAAAGGCATATGTTTGAGGATTTCCTCATCATTATATACAGGCTTATTCACTAGTAGTGACTTCATGTTTAACTCCTAAAAAATTCTGAAATGCTGTCTCAAAAAGAAAGTAAAATAAATAAAATCCAAGATTTTTATTCTTCCTCAGGAAGAATTAAAGCTGTTTCACCTCTTTGACTCTACTTTCAAAAAACACTAATGAAAATGAGGTCTAATCATTATAGTTTTCAAATACTATTATGTATTTTTACATGAGATATATACAAATATATATTATATGTATTAATCCTCAATAATTTGAGGGTTGTCTTTTTAGGATCTTTGGCCCTGGCTGATGAACTCAACATAAAGCCACCATGTGAAGGGAAGAGGGACTCAGACAAAGAATCAATGTTAAATGTATGGTAACTCATTTAGTCATATTTGTCAAAGTGCTGAGTTGTTCCACATAGTGAACACTATTTATGGATCACCCAGAGTTTCCCCAAATTTTATTTTTAGAATTTCTGAATGATAAATAAAGAGCTTATAACTAGGCCAGAAAACGTGATATGTGCATTTCTCTTTCATATTTTTCCTAAGAGAAAAAAAAACACCTTAAAAGGAGTCTAGTACAAATTTGAAAATTGGAATTATACTTAATTCAAATGGTTCCTAGTCTTAATTGTCTCTAGATTTTCATTGTGTTTTAAGTAAATGTTAAAGGGAGGGAATGTGATTTCCAAAGTGAGCAAAAAGATGTTGTTTAGAAACTAATTACCTGCACAGACACAAATGTTTTGGGGCAGGTTGTGGCAGGTTCATTAACACTCAGTGCTAATAGTGACCAATTTCTTATGCACATTAATGTCACATCAGCTCCATCTTGTGGCTGATGATATTACTGGGCTCATTTTAACTTTGATTCTGCAGGAAAAAGGTCAAAAACAAAAAAGAAACAAATGCTGGTGAGGAGAGGAAATTGTAGCCAGGGCTCATCATTGCAGCTGTTTGTAAAACAAAAAAAAAAGTGACAGGAAAAAACCCCTCCATAGTTGCAATTTGCCATATCTAAGTGGACAATTATAAAACAGGGAAAGTTTTCATTAAAATATTAATTAAGAAAATCAAAGAAAACGATTTCGTGGCTATTTCAATGAGTTTATGAACCCTGCCAGTTATGCTTTGTTCCTCTTTCATTCAGGGCACCAAAACCGCTGCTGCTGCTGGGCAGTTTAACCTCGAGGCTGCGATTAAAAGTGTTGACAAAATGTCCAGCGAGTTGAAGAAGCTGAACGGTAACTCTGCCTTCATCCTCCGGTAACACGAGAGGTTTAAGGCGTCCTAAGAGCTGTGAAGGGCTCGGTTTCCTTTGGGGTGCAACTGTTTTCATGTAATGAAACAAGAGATTTGCTTGTGTTTGGACGAGTTAACTGTAGCAATAGAATCAGGTGAATTAACCACGGCAAACCTGTCGGAGAGTCAGAAGCCACTCGTTTGCAGAAACACTGGTAGTTTTCTAATACGAATAGTACTAATTTTAATTTAAATGTCTTGAAGTAAATAAAACAAGGCGACCCATTAAATCTGTGAATGAGTCGACAGACGAACACTTCAAAAAGTGCTTGTGTAGATGCCCTCCACTGAGCAGCTGCCATTGCCTAAACACCGTGCTGATAAAATGTCCTTTGTCTTTCAGTGGAAAGCCAGCTCCTGCTTTGTGACCTTATTCTGAATTTCAACCATCCTATAAAGGCCAAAGACTTAAGAGAAGCTGAAGAAAAGACGTGGAGTTTGACAGATTAAACATCCATTTTCTTGTGTTGTCTTCTATTAATACTGCTGAAGTTTCTTTTTCTTTTTCTCTTTCTTTTTCTTTTCCTCTTTCTTTTTCTTCTTCCTTTTTCTTTCTTTTTCTTTATCTCTTTCTTTTCCTCTTTCTTTTTCTTTTCCTCTTTCTTTTTCTTCTTTCTTTTTCTTTTTCTTTTTCTTTTTCTTTTTCTTTTTCTTTTTCTTTTTCTTTTTCTTTTTCTTTTTCTTTTTCTTTTTCTTTTTCTTTTTCTTTTCCTCTTTCTTTTTCTTCTTCCTTTTTCTTTTTCTTTTTCTTTTTCTTTTTCTTTTTCTTTTTCTTTTTCTATTTCTTTTTCTTTTCCTCTTTCTTTTTCTTTTCCTCTTTCTTTTTCTTCTTCCCTTTTCTTTTTCTTCCTTTTTCTTTTTCTTCCTTTTTCTTTTTCTTTTTTTTCTCTTTTTCTTTTTCATTTCTTTTTTTCTCTTCTCTTTCTTTTTTTTTCTTCTTTTCTTCTTCTTTTCTTCCTCTTTTTCTACCTCTTCTTCCTCTTTTTCCTCTTCTGCTTCTACTCTCTCTTCTCGTTCTTCTCCTTCTTCTTTTCTTCCTCTTCCCTCGAAAGACTGAAGGTTGAACTGTACAATGATAGTATGGCTCCCTACACTCAGACTATTTTTATTTTAAACAGAAAATGGGGAGTGTAAAAAGCCATAAGCAGGTTACTGATTTTGAGAGGGTTTTTTAGCCCACATTGCCCAAATTAAGCCCACCAGGGCTGGAAAGACTGATGTAATTAATTAATTAGAAAGGTCAGGAAACTGGGCATGAAGTTTTTCACATGTGGTTGTCTCCTTTTAAACAAAGACATGTTGGACCAGCACCAAAGATTTGAAATTACTACAAGTCAAGTCATTCCTCTTTTATCTCAGTTGTGCTCTGGAAAAGGGGATAAGAAACAGTCGGTGGAAGAGGAACTGCAACTCGGCATTTGAGCTGCCTTCCTCCTCCTAAAAATAGTGCCAGAGGGCAGATTACTGGAAAACCAAAAGTACTTTTGGTTTTAGTTTCTGTAGTGACTCTCTAATGCACTTGGCTACAAAAAAAGGGCCTAAATACCCCACCCTGAAATCTTCTTGGCCCAAAATTTGAGCAGCCACTCTTTTCATGTAGTTCATTCCAATTAATATTCAATCGTACTTTACTTGTGGACATCTTTGAGTGTTTGAACGTTTGGTGTATTTTTTTTTTCTTTTACCAAATATATTTATCTGAATACTAAAACTGTGATTTATTCTACTGGAAAAAATGTGCAGTGTTAAAATTTGTTATGCTGGTATAAATTTTGTTTCTCTTTCACTTGTGAGATGATTTAAAATTAATAAAACACAATTCCACAGGAGGTATTTCTAAGTTTCTTGATCCATTTTTTTCAAGGCAATGCAGTGGAATAAAATTACAGCCTCCAATTCACAGTCAGTGGTTATGCGGGAGATGTTCTGAATTTTAGCATTTTTTAAAAAACATAGATTAGAATTGATTCTCCTTTCACCAGATTAAAAAATATTGAGCCAGAAACAGCTTTTCTCAGCTGAAGAATTTTTAAAATTTCATTTTTCATCTTTATTTTTGGACCCACCGCTGCATGGAAACGAAATTCCTAACTTTGAATTCTAAATATTTTAGAGAGACAGACAACATTTATAAAACACATCTATTTAAACTGTTCATGAAATCTAATTGTTACGTCTGAGAAGCTCTACAGATTGTATGGGAAGTATTTGTCTACCTTGAATTTCGGTTCTAGTATTTCAAGACACAAATGGCTTTAAAGGAAAAAACATGTGACGAATCTACCATGTCAAACCAAGTTATCAGAAAACTGAGGCAAGGACTTGGATAAATCCCACTTAACAAAGGTGAGGGGAAAACTCTTGGTGCTTCAATGGTCATCAGTTGCAAGTTATATTTTAGATCTGGGAACGTTTTCTTTTAAAAACTCAGTACAACAGAGGGCAGTGGTGTAAGAGGAACTGAGTTTAGGCTGCTGCCTGTGCTTTCTAAGAGCTTTGGGTGTGTTCTGCCAGTCAGGAATCACATGATGATGGGATAAACTCGTGGATGTGCTTCCTGTAAAAGGCAGTTGCTGGGTTTAATCAGGAAGACACAGCGAAGGAAGGTCCTTGTTAAAGGGGAAAAGCTTGTTCTGACTCAGGTTAGAGGATGCCAGGAGACACCTAATTCCAGCGTGTGGAATAAAGCATGGGATCCTCAGTGCTGTGGCAGAAAGTGGTGTCTGTAGGTGCGGGAGTTCTCTAGAAAACTGGGAAAAATCCAGTTTCATCCCTGAGTAACCCAGACACAAACCCCGACAGGCACCTGCACATCTGGGGTGGGAGAGATTTTTGGTGTCACTGAAGCCTGTGTGCCCTTCAGATCCAGGTTAGAGCCACAGCCTTTTCAGGGAAGTGGACATAGTTAGATTTATTGGGGAATAAATAGGCTTCCATTGTCTTTTGTCCATTCCTCGGCTTTGACAAGGTTTGGGTCTACCTTGTATCACATGAAGTAACATAATTGCTGCTGCAGTTCTCATCCAAAAAAAAGAGCTTACGTTTTTATTCTCCTGTGACAGCAGAGATTTGTGTGCATGTTTACTCCTGGATCCTCCAATTTGCTGTGGAAATAATTTCAAGAGGATATACACGTCTTGGAAAATAAAAAAATTCTCAGGTACTGTATGATTAGTGGACAGTAACAAACACATCATAGGAAAATCATATTTAAAGCATACTGCATTTAAGGCATAATTAAAAAATAACATAATCCTTTTTCCTTGAAATGAGGTGATTTTTAATGACTTCATGAGTTTAGTTTGCTGAAAAAGGAAGTGTCTTCAAGTTTATAAACTTCACTAGGCTTTGATACAATGCATGATCTTCATTAAGATCTTATTTAAATATGTCCTGCAGCATATTTTAACATGCACTGGTTTCTGGAACCTCTGTCTTTTCCATCAATCAGAAGAAGGGGTGTCCTTTGGAAGTGGTCAATGATATCTGCCACAGAAGAAAAATCCTGTGGGATGGAAAAAATGAGAAGGCTATGGCAGAAATGTCAGAATTATCAGTAATCAGTACAACCAAAAGGGGTTTTTTAAACTCTAAATATTTAGCAGTCTTACAAAAAACACAGAAGGTCCAGTAAATACTGTCAGACCAACTGTTCTCCTTCCTGCCATCATCTGTAGCTCAATAACTGTGTGTACAAGCTATAATTAATTTGTGCAGTCTGTTTAATACATGATGGTGCCATTCTGCTTGATGTGATGACTGTACTTGGAAGTTCAAAGAGATAAATTCGGAGTGTTTTGGCTCAATCACAGCTGCAGTGTGAGGCTCACTGGGCTCACTGGTGCCAGTAAATCCACACAGAGCTGCTGGTGCAGCTGAGCCACCAGTCTGAGAGCACAGTAAAGTTTGCTCTCAGCTCTGTATTTATTTCCCTCATCTGGTGCATTAGTGGTAAATGAACATTCCCTAACCAGGTGTGTGGATTTCTAATGGCCGTATTCTAAGTTATCTCTTCATTCCCTGAGTGCAAACAGGAGAATCTGATTTTACTTCCAGCACTAACAATATTCTACCAGGAATAACTCTAAGAATTCCACCCCAGGAAAACCTGACAGTCAGGAATAAGAGAGGAGATCCCTCACAATGAAGAGAATTAGTGTGAAAACACACAGTACCTCTTTTCCTTTTAAGCCAGTTCCCAACAGATACAAGTGCTCTTGCTCCTGGTAGCGGATCTGGATGTTGTACACTTTGTCCCTGTACAGCACCATCAGCACATAGGGGTGAGTGACAGTTTTCCTTGAGCTGTCCCTCACCAGGAATGTTCCATCCTGAAAGATGAAAAAATGACAGATGACAAATAGGAGTCACTCCTGGGTTTGATCAGTATAACAACCTTCACTAGAGCACCCCTTCTAAGCGTTTGTTCTTTCTGAAATCTTTCTCCTTCTGCCAAGAGAAGCTGCACCGTGAGAGAGTTTGTGCCATTCAGCAAATGTGCTGTCTTGCAAATTTGCTACTTAACTCTTCCTGCCTGTTACAAAAGCAGATTTTTAGGGAAGGAAGGAAGGATGTTCTATGAGGGAGAGATTCCATTAAAGGAGGAAGTAAAATATCAAAGGCCAGACCTGACATCACATGAACCAGAAAAGAATTTCATTTCTGCCGAGTACCAGTCAAGGTTCCTGTGTGATGCATTTACAGACAGCCTAAAATACTGACAGTGGCTGCGTAATTTAGGCAAAGGCAGTGACACTGTACCACTCTCTCTCTGCTTTTCTTCATTTCAGATCTGGCTTGACAAGTCTTCCATTGAATTCCCTTTCTTAAGGGCACTGAATGTGATCCCATAAGCTGGGCCTTACTCCAAGTGATTAGAACGTTGTACACATCACCCTCAGCTCATGGCAATAGTGGAGTAGCCACACTTCCCTCAGTGATGGAATAGTATTTCATTTATATTCATAATTTTAATTTATCTCCACATGCACAGATAAGCCTGGGTTTCACCTGTCTGAATCTGTGCTTCATTTTGCTGGTCAGTATGGCCTAGGAAAGGGGGGGGATCAATTCAAGCTGCCTAAATATTGGAATTTGGGACAAACTCCTCACTGATGACAGAAAACTATTTCCAGAGAACAAGTCACTCCTCCTAAGACGGGCAAGGTCAAACTGCTTTCTGGAGACACATAATTTGTTCTCTTGGATTTTGGCAAACAACAGCCTTTGTGGGTGATTTAGACCCGGTGTGAAACTTTTCTGTGGGGAAGGATTCAAGATGAATCCTTCACTCTGAACACCTACATTGGTGCTGCAACCTCTCTGTTTTATTGACCTGCACTCCTCCCATGGGAGCACAAGGACACCTCGTGAGGGGGTGGGAGGATCCCCTGCATGAGAAATAAAAATACAGGTTTTTATATGAATATCATATCATTTATATCATGAAGTTGTAAGATATCCAGGTTCCTAGACCTGAACTTGGGTATCAGGGTCTCTTTCAGCAGGATAAGGGAAATGAGAAAATTCTTAAAAATTAAATCCTTGAGGGCCATTTTGTACACGAGGTTCCTTTTCTCTTTGGGAGAACAAAGATCCATCACCTCTGACAGGGGATGGCTTGCAGCCAGTTGGGAAAAAGGAAAAGCCCCTTTTCAGAGAAAAGAAACCTTTTTAGGTAAAGATGAATACATTACAACGTATCTGAAAAGGGTGGGATTTTGTGAAACTATAAAATGTATGAAATTTAAACCCAAGGGGTCTTTTCCCCCGGAAACTCGGTGAGAGAAAGACCCAACACGTTGAAGAAATTCTTCCTTGTTTCTTTGTTCCCAAAGTTTAGTTCCCTTTCCCTTTTTAAATTTGAGGAGAAGGATATTTCCCACCCCTGCCATTCCCAGAGTACCTTGTTGATTTTCCGAAGAGCTGCCTCTGCCTCGGGCCGGCTCACAAAGGCCACGTACCACTCGTTGTTCAGGGAGCCCTAAGGGGTGGTTTGGGGGAGAGGAGAAAAGGGAAACTCAGCTGTCAGTGACTGAGTCTGCAATTCGAGCAACGCACAGGGAAGCAGAGAGAAATCTCAGTGTGAGGGATATTTGGGTTTATGTGCAGAATCTCAGAAGGTTCGAGTTTCGGGGTATTTGTTACAGTCTGGTGAAGCGGCACTGAGGGATTTTAAATTATTGGCTCACTCTGATAAATTTGAAAATATTGCAGACTATAATACATCTGCAATTAAGCCAAATAAACAGATATTTCCAAATATTTTCAGTACAATATTTTAAATGGCATTTTCTCTTTTGTCCACCTGGACGGTGGCATCCTTTGCCTTTTTTTGTTTGGTTGGTTGGTTTTAAAATTTTTTTTTTTTCATTTTTTAACTATCATCTGAGACCATTATGCTACAAATCCTGTGAATATAACACGTATGGTTGCCCAGCAGCGTTATGACCAGGAGCTTGTTCTCGACTTGTTCTATTTAAAGAAATGTGAAACAAAAAATGCACTTACAAAGCTGAGTTCTTTACTCATCAAACTTTTGTGGAAGGAGAACTGAATATGTAATATTAGTTGAAGGCAATTGTGCCAAACAAGCAATCCAGCAAACAAGTGTTTTTCTTGTTTTGTTCTGTCAGGGGTTTGCTGTTGTTGTTTTTTTTCGGTGAAGACAAAACAAGGCGTTGAAATTTGACCCAGAAAAGAAAACTGAAAGCACTTATTGGCGACCTGAGGACGACTACTGCCCAGAAAAACAACTCTAAAAGATGTTCCCTCTCCAAACCAGAGAATTTGCTGTGTTTAACAGCATTTGTAGTGTTTTGTACCTCATCTTCCTCGGGGTTTGTTTGGTGGACAGTCTGTCTGCCGGGGATTGGCAGTGGAGGTCTCACATCAGCTGGACCTCTCGAGGGGGACCTGCTGTTGTTGCCTTCAAAGATAGAAAAATAGAAAAAAAAAACGTTCAAGCCAGGAGAATAATTTCATCTGTGCAGGATCTTGGTTTTACAGGGCATGGAGTGTTTCCATCCCCCTGGTACTGAGATGTTTGGGGTTGATTTGAAATCAGATTCAGGTTTCTCCATCAGCACCACGTTCTCTGCCTAATTTCACCCCCCGGTGCACAGACAGGGACTTTTATGAACTCTTGCATTTCCATAAGACCAGATGAACTTGAAATAGAGGTGACACCTTTTTAGTTTCTGGACCACAGTTACTCAGTTGAGAGCATCTTGGTTTCTTTAGAGACAGAAGAAACGTTGTCTCCATGCAATCTTTGCCTTCTTAGCAATTAGAAAGTAAAAACTGTCACTGTAGGACATTGGCAGCTGTTACCATAGGTGAAAAATTACCTGCAAAACAATCGATTTCTAAGTTTTCTTTATTTTTTACTTGCTATTACAAGATAAATAAGCAGTGTTTTCACATGGGAAGTGTTTTCTCCCTTTTCTGAGAGTTTTAGCACACCTCAGCTCTCAGTACTGTTTGCTGGACTGAAAAAGGTGGTTATATCAAATTGTGACACTGGTTTAACCAGGCAGGGAGCCCAAGCTTTGTGGGAAAGAAAACCCAAAAGACCAAGTAAGTTGCACAAGATGCCTTTCAGGAACTTGATAGTTTTCTGTTCACAGCCCAACCAGAAACATCCACAGAAAAAAAAATATTATATATTAACTGCACTGAAACCACTGAAACCACTTTTTAACTTTCAGTCATGTTCTTACAAAAAAAAAAAAAAGGAAGGAATGAAGGATACAGACCTGGATGTAAGCGAGGTGGTAGTGAGCCAGTTGAAGACAGGTTTCTAGCACTGTTTAAAAAACAAAAGTAGTCAGTATAAATACATTTCTATGCAACATTTCTGTGCTCTGAACATCTGATTGGGACTTTGTGCCTGTTTTACAGAATGACCCGTGCAGGATGAGGAAAGTTTTCTCCTTCTTTTTGGTTTTCTAATCTTCTCTGGGTAAGTGGATCCCCCTTGAAGTTTACCTGGAGCTCAGATCTGGGAATAAGGTAGAGGGAATCAGTAATGGCCACCGAGACTTTTGGATCGGGATCAATGCAGAAAAGTACTCCAGCTTGTTGAGTTTTCTCAGGGAATGACTCCTTTATTCCCCTAAAGCAGGAAGCACAGGGAACACCTTGACAGATAGCCAGGGTCACAGAGTCATATCTTTTTTGTGGCTTCTCTAAAACTACTCATCAACGTTGTTGATGAAAATGCCATTTCTCATTAATGTTGCAGGCTGGGAAGGGCCAGCCACAAAAAGGACTGAGGCATCCCACACGTGAGGAAAGGCTGAGGGAGCTGGGGCTGTTCAGCCTGGAAAAGAGAAGGCTTGGGAGGGATCCCCTTATTAAAGCTCATAAACATCTGAAAGGAGAGCCAGGCTCTGGTCAGTGGTGCCCAGTGATGAGACAGAGGCCGTGGGCACAAACTGAAACTCCAGAGGCTCCCTCTGAACGGGAAACACTTCACTGTGAGGGCAACCAAGCACTGGAGCAGGTTGCCAAGAAAGCTGAGTTGTCTCTGCTCTTGGAGACACTCAAATGCCACCTGGATGTGGCACCCTGGTCAAGGTGACCTTGTTTGGGTTGGGGCTTGGACCAGGTGACATCCAGAGGTCCCTGCCAACCTCTGCCCACACCCAAAACTTCTCAAAACTGAGTCCCAATCTTCAGTGCTTGTTATTATTTCTGTTTCTGGGGACAAAAGGCCTGCCCTCTTTGTCCTTTACAGTTCATGTTTCTCTTCTGCTTAAATGGGCTGTTGAAAAGGCTCTGAGATGAAAATGCTAATTATGTTTGCAGAACAAAAACACCCCATCATGGCCTGATTAATGGGAGAGAATCTGTCAAATGGGGGCCTCCACTGCAGCAGTGCTGGGCATGTTGTTTGAATATAACCAGAAGTGTTCATCATAGGAACAGTTCCATTTTCATTTGACCTCACTATTGCTACTGCAATATTTGTTCTGCTGGGGTGTCAGCAGTTCCAGAGAATGATGGCAAATTGGAGGAATTCATCAAAGAGCCATTAAAAAAAAATACAGAGATTAGAAAATGTGCCTCAGACGTGGACTCAAGGAGCCCGGTCTAACTCAGCAAAGCCTAAGATTCCCAGAATTCAGATTATCAGGAATGAAAACTTAATTAAGGGCTCCTCCACCTAGCAAATGAAGACAGAGCAATTAAATATTTGTAGGCTGAAAACAGGAAAAAATTTTGAAGCCAGGTTCACAATTTTAAACAGGGATTATCAACCATTAGGGTAAGACTTAGTAAAGGGCTGGTGAAATTCTTTCTGATTCAATTCCAGATGACTGAGGTTGTGGGTTTTTTTAGTTTTTAAATGAATTAGTGGTCACAGCTTTAGCACTTGGGCTCCTGGAGTGTGCAAGGGCCTCTTTGACCTCCACCCTGCATAGTTTTGGAGAAAACTATGGAGCATTTTTTTGTAGAAAGCCCTTCCCCAAAGCGCTTTTCATTCCTATGGATCCTACAGATCCATAAGGGAGAGATGTCTCAAGAATCAAAATATTTCCTTACCATAAAACTGAGGGGAATTTGGAGATATTTTGGGGACGATTTTGTGTGGATTTGGGGTGAATCTGATGGATTTTGGTGGTATATTTGTGGATTTTGGGTGACTTTTGATGGATCTTGGTGGTATATGTGTGGATTTCCATTGATTTTGATGGATTTGAGGAATTTAGGAATATTTTGGGATATTTTGGGGGTGATTCTGTGTGGATTTGGGTCTACTTTGGGGTACTTTAATTTTGGGGCTATTTTACTGGGATATTGATGGAATTTGGGGGAATTTGGAGATATTCCGGGGACAATTTTTTGTGGCTTTTAGGTGACTTCCAATGGAATTTGGTGGTATATGTGTGGATTTTTGTTGATTTTGATTGATTTGAGGAATTTAGGAATATTTTGGGATCTCCTGGGATATTTTGGGGGTGATTCTGTGTGGACTTGGGTCTATTTTGGGGAACTTCAGTGCGATTTTGGGCTATTTTACTGGGATTTTAACTGGATTTTGGGGAATTTGGAGGTATTTTGGGGATGATTTTACGAGGATTCTGGGTGACTTTCGATGGATTTTGGTGGTATATGTGTGGAGTTTGGTTGATTTTCGTGGGATTTTGATGGATTTGGGTTGCTTTTTGTGGGATTTTGATGAATTTGAGGAACTTTGGAATATTTTGGGATCTTCTGGGACATTTTGGGGGTGATTCTGTGTGGATTTGGGTCTATTTTGGGGAACTTCAGTGCGATTTTGGGCTATTTTACTGGGATTTTAACTGGATTTTGACTGAATTTTGGGGAATTTGGAGGTATTTTGGGGATGATTTTATGAGGATTCTGGGTGACTATCGATGGATTTTGGTGGTATATGTGTGGATTTGGGGGATTTCGATGGATTTGGGTTACTTTTTGTGGGATTTCGATGGATTTGAGGAACTTTGGAATATTTTGGGATCTTCTGGGACATTTCGGGGGTGATTCTGTGTGGATTTGGGTCTATTTTGGGGTATTTCAGTGCAATTTTGGGCTGTTTTACTGGATACAGCCTAAGGGAGGAACTACTCCTCATGGTTGCCTTGAGTGCCTGAGTTCCCTGTAGCTCCACACACTGTGTTATTTGCTGGATTGCCAAGGGATTGAGATCCAAGAGGAACAACAAAACAAGGGAGAAACCAACCTTTCTGCCCCAGGCAGGCTGTTGGATCCTGGCTTGGGTGGAGGTTTGAGAGGTTTGGCTGGGAGGGAGCTGGAGCTGTAGGGGGGCAGGCACAGCTGTGGCACTGCCCTCTGGGGTGCAGCTGTGGAGAAGGGAGAGAAGGCAACTGAAATCTCGTGGGGGACATCCTTAAACGAAGAAATTCTGTCCCATAACTGCTGCTTAATTGGATAAACATCCCGGAGTAAACAGCCTGTGAACAGCCCGTGATGTGTCAGTCACAGGTTGTGAACTCAGATGGTCGGCTGAGCTTCAAATTGAGTCTTAAAATGAAAAATAAACTGGCACAGGCTTGAGCAACACTTACATTCCCTAACTTCTGTTTTGGATAAGCCACAGTTCAGGTGCTTTCCCTGCAGCAGAGCTGAAGGTGGTGCAGAACCAAGTGTTCTCTGTTGCATTGCTTCTAAAGAGCAGATTTGAGTCACCTTTTGAACCCCATTCCTTTGTGAGGTTTCTCCCGGCAGGAAATAAAACATTTTCTTTCTGCAGTGGCCTCAGACCTGAACTTCCAGGAAGAGGGAACAGGTAACTGAGCTCTGCACAGCTCAGATTTCTTATGGAGGCTCAGAGGCTGTGATAATTCACAGAGACCTGGTCAAACCCTCTGCTTCTCCTGTGGAGTCACTTTGCCAACTTAACTCTAGAATTTAGCATTACAAATACTGTTGTTACATGAAAGAAGTTCTGCTTCTGCTCGTGGAAGTGAATAACATTACACAGAGAGTGGCATCAGACACAACCTGACTTTTGAAATGGCTCTAAAGAAACAACTCTAAGTTGTTTTGGTTTTTTTTTTTAACAGAACTAAGGCAAAGAAAGGCCTTAAGCTTGAAAAATCACTGTAGAAATACTTACTGTCTTCTTCTTCCTGGGGAGCCAAAAGAAAACAAACATTAGCAACATATTACAGCAGAGTTCTTAGGAGTATTTTACACAACAAAACAAGGATGTTGGTGGATTTTGGTTATACAAGGACTGTAATACTTGCAACACCAAGTAATTGTTAAAGGTCTTTCATTAATTAATTAATTGTTTACAAATAAGCAATGTGGTGGATGTCCCATAATGGCTCTTGACCCAAAGCACTCAGAAACTCTCAGCAGGTACAAACTTTCCTCATTTCTCCAAGTGCAGGCTCTCAAGAGTTAACTGAGAGTGAAACTTTCAGGTCACCTTAAGCTGAACAAAATCCCCCAAAGCCCCAGATTTAGTGTAAGCAAAATCACTTCTCCCATGTTATATGTATAAAAAAAATAATCTGGTTTTATTCTTCCTTTATCTAAGATAAAGTACTCAGGGAATATGAGCTTGACACAGAAGAACTGCTTAAAAACACCCCGTGTGCTGCGAAAGATCCAGGAGTGTTCTTTACAACTGATAAAAGAAACAAGTTTACCTTGTCCAGAATTATTAGTTAATACAGCCACTTAATTTCACTGGAGTCCATATATTTTAAATATATGCTTTGAGACTGCACTTACTTCATTTTTTTTGTGTGGTGGCCAACTCTGCCTGAAATGAAAACAAAACACTCATCACAGGTGGAACACTACCCATTCATTCGTGTGCATCATTTTCAACTAGAATATGAATTTATAGTAAGTTTGAAAGGCCCAGTGAATGCCAAACCTTTTTTTTTTCCTCATAAAAACATCTAAAATTCTAATTTCAACCCTAATCTAAGGCATCACGCTTGTCCTTAGCCCAGCTTGAGTCGATCAACAAGGAAAACTGATGCATTGATTATGAGATTAGAGCTTAAAACGAGTTTTTGCAATGATGAAACATTAGTCTTCAAGTCTTGAACTCACTTCTAATACCTGGCAACATTGCTGGAGCTCAGCATTAGACTTCCAGGCTTTGTTTCTCTGATGAATGATCTCGTTTTTATCTTTGTTTCTCTGATAAATTATCCTGGCTGATTAGCAGACCTCAGTTACTTTCTTAACTTGTTTTAAGCTCAGTCCCAGTGTCCAGCCCCCAGTTTACCTATAAAATGCTGGAGAATGATCTAGTTCTGCTGGAGAATGTGACTGGCTACTAAGAAGGAGGTTTGCAGGCTAAGTAAAGGTTTCTTTTTCTAACACTTAAAAAAACCCAGCAATTGAACTCATGAAATAACGTTCCCTAGAGCAAGAACCTGAGCTGGTGGAAAAAACAGGGATCATGGATTTCTTTGCCCAGCTTGGCAGTGAGTCCTGCCCCGTGTGCTGGGGCTGTTTCAGACAGGACAGGAGAGAGAGGTTTTCCTGCATTCACACTTTCCTGCAGTTTAATACATCCATCAGCCAAAATCTTTAATATCCACAGCCCCTGCTGTCAGGCAGGACCTGTAAATTGTACCACCTTGAGTTGCTTGTCCATATCTTTGTTAAATTTAATTTATCCTTCATTAAATTCCAGTGAAATGAGCACTTACTTTCCAGGGCTTTGCTTCCTTAAGGGAGGGGGGTTGCCTCTTTCATATCTGTCACTTGGTGGGACAGGAGGTTTGGGCATCATTGCCAGCTGTTCCCCCAGGGACCTAAAGCAGGAGCAAGATGATGAAATAAAGGCAAAAAGCTGCTTATTGAGAACTAACTGGGGAATATTGGCACTGAGAGGACCATTTCCAGAGGAAAAACTCTTACCTTAGCTGTGAAACCAGAGGCTGGAAAACAACAAGGAGAAGTTGAATGTGTGTCAAAACAGGCAAAAAACATCAATAAGCACCAAAAAAAAAATATCTTACCTTTTCAGGAATGCTTGGCTTCTTCCCTGAAAATAGTAAAAGCTTACATTTAGAAAAAATGAAAGCTAATTAATCAAGCTGTCTATGAAACCTGTGAGTTTTGAACAGTTGGAAGTTAATTTTGTAAGTTGAAGCCCTCAGCCTCCTGAGATGTAAAGCAGAAAAACATTCTGGCTTTGTGAGTGATGGCAAAATTGCAATATCTCTTTTTAAAGGCATATTTAACCATTTTCAAGGTGGCATGTTTTACAATCATATTTTCTAGGGTTCAGCTTTCAATTACTGGATACTTTTCTGCCATTGTAAAACAGATGAAAGAGTTCAGACAATAAATAAAAATCATAGAGTCATATCTTCAGATTCTTTGTGTAATGTGGTTTTCAGGTCTGAAACAAATGTAATTTTTCTTTTATGTCTTACTAGTTCTCAGCATTCTTTTAAGTCTGTTTAAGTTGCAACCTTACACCCAGTAGTGTGTGCAGAGTTAGCTCTCTATTTCTCCTTTAACCTGCTAAATATCTCCTTGTTCATTCACTTAAGTGTCACCCCAAACCTCTGTTGCACAGGGATCTCATCAAGTCTTTCTGTTCACCTGTCTGACCTTGGGTTGCTGTTTTCTAAACACAATTTCTCCCTCACTTTACAAGTCCTGCTCACAACATTTATTCACAAACAGATTACCTTGCCTGGGACTGGATTAGAGCACATCTGGTTGAGCCTTGATCTTTTGCATCAATTATATACAAAGTGATAATTTTCAGTAATTAAAACAATCACATTTATATTAATAAAGCAAACACTGACCTGCTGCTGGGCTCTCTCTTTCAAAGGGGGGAGCAAGGCGGTCCAGGGAGGGCTTTGTGCTTCTGTCTATAGAAGGAGCTGGGGCTAAACACAACAGCTGTGTGAGACAATGTGCTGGGATAGGTTAATATATCTTTATTTTGTGCAGCCATGAACTGGTGGGACTTAGAATAACAAGAGAGGCTTCTGTGTGAGAGTAGAAGAGAGTGGAAGTGAGGAGATGGAGGCAGGAGCTCCACAGCCCACGGGAAAAGCTTTACAAGGACAGCACCAGCTCTACTTACATTTCAAAGGCTTCATGTTCCTGTCTCTCCCCAGGTCGTTGTTGCTCGGTGGAGGAGGGAAAGCTGGCAGCTGAAACAGATATTTCACATGTGGTTAAAATGTTGTCCTCACCTTTCTGTTTTAGTTTCAGTGTGTTAACCCCAGCACACACATCTGCCCGTCCCCGTGCCTGTGCAGCACAGCAGATCCCAGCTCCCTGCAAAAGGACAGGAGCCAGGGGCTCTCCTGAGGAATGCCCCACGTGCTTGGCTTCTTGTTGGATGCAGAATTGCTTCCACCTGTTTTGCCTCGCAAGGGATACTCCAGCGGGCTGTATTTTGGGGGAGGATCGTGTTTATTGCCAAAGGAAAGAAACAGGAGCTTCAACAGCACTGCTGTGGGTTTGCCCCTCCAGGGCAGCAGGTGTTGGGTTTGTAAATGTGTTGAAAGGAGTGGATGTGCATTTGAAGAGGAGAAATATGTAATAAGTCACTGACTGGTGACTGAGGCAGGGGGAGAACGGGCTGTTCTCTGCTCCTGGGAGAGCTGGGGTCAAACAGCATTTTGTTGTCAGCAGCCAAACCCGGATTTCTCCAGACACCTGCCTTCCAAAGCTCATCCTCAGCCTGAGTTTAGGACACTTTTGAGAGCTCAGGACACCCAATAGTCCTCTGTGTTTTCTACATATGAACTATGTCACTGGGTCAGGCCAAAAATCCTTCTATCACATCCTAGAATTACCTTGTGTACATGGTAGGTCTAATGCACATCTCTCCTGGCAAACATTGAACTTATTATAGTGCCAGCTGTCAACAGCACAAGAGCTTTCAGTTTTGAAGGATTCACAGCAGCAAAAAAAATTAAAGGAGTCAAATCTGGGTAATCAAGGTTCTCATTGTACAGTCTCTCACACTTCTATGTGGTTTTAATTCAACTGGACAACTGCTGCATGAATAGATTGGGAAGAATTAACCTTTTTTTTATTTTACAAATATCACTAAAGAAGCAGAGGCATCTCTTACAAATATATAATTTATATGTTACAGACATTCACAAGTAGGTATAAATTTCCAGTGTAGGAAACACCCAAGTAATAAAATATACTACCCAAGTAATTTAACATATTTGTCCCAAGAAATTTAATTTCTTGGAAAAACAGTCACCCTGGAACAGAGCTCAAATCTGTTTTGATGGCTGAAATTCTCCCTCTACGTACAGTAGCTGATTAAAAACAGCATTACATTTGGACTTTTAAAAAGTTACTGGCATGGGAAATAGGTAAAACATTAGGAAAGGAACATACAGAAGCACCTCTTGCCCCAAATGGGGCTGGTCCTGGGGACGGGCCAGGTCTCTGGGGCGGCACTGGAGGCTGATGTGATGATCTGGTTGTTGAAGGTCTGTCTAAAGAAAACAAAAATCCCAAACTAAACACCTACACAGAGTTTGGTCATTTAATACCTATTAGATCCTTAGGGCAAAGAGCCCTTGCAAGAACCTGGATGCTTAATAGATCCTAAAGACATTGCTGTAGGATGTCATTGGCAGCTGATTTATGATCAGTGCAGTGCTGGGAGTTACAGCCCATCTGTCCCTGTGCTGGTGACTCCTCTGCCAGTCTGTTGGCACAGTATTTATTGCCATGCCCTGCAGTTCAGTGACTGTGTGAAACACCAGCCAGTCTCAATGGTAGGTTTGCACCTTCCACAGAACCTTCTACATCCCACGACCAGCCACCCAAAACGTGGCTGGTAACGCATGAAAACAGAATTTACAAATCATTGGCAGCACTTCATTTTCAGTAATTACCTATATAATCAGTGTTGCTTGGAAGTGACTTGGCAGGAAATATGACATTGTGATGGGCTTCATCATTGTTGGATGGAGGGGGCTCGTAGCCATCACTGTCATGTTCTGCCTCTCCAGGTTCTTCTGTTGGGGATTCATAGTCAGCCTCGTCTTCCTTCTCCTGGTCTTCATCAGGGCTTTCATAGTCATCATCATCCTCATCCTCCTGGCAAATGAGCATAAAAAGTGGGGGCTGCAACAGAGCACTGAACACTCCAGGGCAGTTTCCTTGTGGCCTTTCCCTGTGGTATTTTTCCCTCTGGAGGACCTCAAGGTTTTACAACGAGTCTGAGGGAAAAAATTCCATTGAAAGGAAATGGGGAAAGGAGGTAACACTGATATTAATGGAGGGAGCACTGAACAGCTTCAGAGAGGACACAAGTATGATTTTATAGCAGTGCAGTGGAGGGTCAGGATAAGGTGAGAGCTCACTGAAATGCACAGTGCCTTTGTTTGGGGACAAGGCTCCACTGGAACACACGATCCAGTGTTCCCAAAAACACACTGGAGCAGCAGCTGATGCCTGTTGATGTCCATTCTTGCTGACTAACACGTATTCTACAGCCTGCAAGCCAGCTCTTAAAAATGCTTCAGGAAAAATGAGATCTTTGATTTAGATCTTGGTGTCCTCCACTGGCCAGACCCAAACCAGCTCGGTGGGACTCGCAGGAGCTCGTGAGATCACTGTGCCAGTGTGGTCAGTGCACATATCTGTGCCCACCAGAAAAAAACACTCCATTGGTGTCTTGGCTGCAAATTCCCAGAGCCCTCTGTATTGGCACAGAGCCCAAGTGCTCTGTAGGAGAATATTTTCATCTTCCATTCTCCTAAAATAGCAGCAAATCTCTTGTGAACAAAGTAACAAGTGGTTTGGGTTTGGTTTTTTTTGAAATGTCTCTCCATTTTTTAAAAAAAATTAGCACTGGTTAACTTTAGAGATCTTCATGAACCCAGCCTGTGCATCAGCAGCTGAGGTGTAATGATGTTTGCTAAAATGCCAAGAGGCAAAAGGAACTTTTGCAGTCTGCTTGGATTAAAACAAATTATTCATCAGCAGATCAACTCTAAAGAGTAAAATGGCAAGGATTTGCCACTGAAAAACACAGCAACATTTCATTTACTGGCCACCTCTTTTAAGAGCTTGAAATGGGTAAATAAAATTCAGGTGGGGTTCTCTGGGAGCTGAGCAGACAAGGCATTGAACCAGGGGGGTTTGTCAGTGCCAATACTCACAAATGAAGACCAGCCCCCATCATCCTGAGCGTACCCTGCGGAAAGAAGCAGAGCCACAGACTTCTTAGTGTGCAGAAAGATGGAATAACTCGACAAAAAAAAGGACACAAGGAACCCCAGGTGAGCTCTGAACCTCAGTAGAAGGTCACAGGAACGAGCTGGTGTTTCAAAGGCAGCCCAGCAGCCATGGAGGGTGCTGGGAATGACACTCTGACTGCAAACCAAGAGCAAAGCCCCCTTGGGGGAGATGATTTCTGTGCTGGCACTTCAAGTTTGTCCTGCACTTCCAGTTCTAAATACAATTTGAAGCAGAATGCCTTCAGAATGAGCCCAGGCTTCTTATCATAGAATCATAGAATCACAGATTCAGCTGGGTTGGAAGGGACCTCCGAGATCATCAAGTCCAACCCTTGATCCAACCCCGCCGTGGTTCCCAGCCCATGGCACTGATGCCACATCCAGTCTTATCTTAAAAATCTCCAGGGACAGAGAATCCACCACTTCCCTGGGCAGCCCATTCCAATGGCTGATTACCCTCTCTGGAAGAATTTCTTCCTGATATCCTAAACCTCCCCTGGCACAGCTTAAGACCCAGCCCTCTTGTCTTGCTGATGGTTGCCTGGGAGAAGAGACCAAACCCCCCCCTGGCTCCCCCCTCCTGTCAGGGAGTTGCAGAGCCAGAAGGTCCCCCCTGAGCCTCCTCTTCTCCAGGCTGAGCCCCCCCAGCTCCCTCAGCCTCTCCTCACAGCACTTGTGCTCCAGTCTCTTCCCCAGCCTCGTTGCTCTCCTCTGGCCCTGCTCCAGCCCCTCCATGTCCTTCCTGAGCTGAGGGCCCAGAGCTGGACACAGCACTCCAGGGGTGGCCTCACCAGCGCTGAGTCCAGGGGAAGAATCACTTCCCTGGACCTGTTGGCCACCCTGTTCCTGAGCCAGGACAGGATCCATTGGCCTTCTTGTCCCCCTGGGCACACTCTGGCTCCTGTTCAGCTTCCTGTCCATCCCTTTGTTTAAGACTATTTTAGCTCTCAGAGCAGAAGGCTTTTTAATTTCATTTTCCCTCTCCAACAGTGTGTCCTGCTGGGAGTGAGGTCAGGGGCAGAGGTGTTGGAACAGAGATATATAAACACTGATACTGAGCATTGGGTTAAAGAAAGACAGTTTGGGCATTCTCCTGTAAATGTCTCTGCTCTTGCCTTCCTTCACCACCTTTTCTTCTTAAAAGAACTTTTTCTTGCTTGTTCTCCTGTATCTGCTCCTTAATCTTTTCTTAAACTCCTTTATGCTCTCATATTTCTATTTGTTGGTTTGGAATTTTGGCTCCCACCCCCACTCCCCTCAATGGACTCTGCCCTGAAAGTATTAACTTAATATTTTAAAAACTTCTTGTTTAAAATTTTTTAACACTTATTGTTGTCAGAGGCTCTCTGCCAGTACACACTTACCTGGGTTTTCAGGACTTCTTTGTGTTTGGGCCCTACAACAAAGACACAAAAAAGTAAATTCCTTCTCTTTGCAATTCTCAAATATTTGATGCTTTTATTTTTAGAATATTTAGCTACAACAGTAGAATGAAGCTTATCTGGATGAGTTTAACTCTGTTCAAAATGCCAAAACCACATTATTTCATATTTCACATACAGGAACCTACTGTAACTAAACTGTCTGGAAAAGAATTCAAGTCAGAGGTCAAGTGCTTTGAAGCAAAGAGAATCAGTAAATACATTTATCAGGGGCCCAGTCCTGAAAACAGAAGCTTTCTTTACTAATTCAGATCAAGGTGTTGAAAGTCAAGTTCACAAATATTTGTAACAGTGAGAAATGTTTTTATGGTTTTCAATTCAAGTTTTGGACTCCAGTTAATGGAAAGGTGTAAAATCATGTGATCAGACAATGCAAAACTATGTTATGTAGAGTGGACTTGGGTTTTCATCGTGTAGGAACACAAATTGTTCTTTTCTCATGCAATGTTCTTGCAATTTTTGCTCCTTTTCTATTGCAGGAATATTCTATTCAGTGACAAGTCATTAAGAATTAGAAGTTGTAATGATGTATAGTCTGTGAAATGCATTAATGATTTATTAGTGCAATAATATGTGCCTGGACTTTGTAGGCTTCCTAAAGATTGATGTGCTCGGGGTGGAAAATTGTATGAAATGTGCATGTTACCTGTTCTGGACAGGACAGAAGCACCTGAGGTGTTCATGGGCTCAGGTTTTGCTTTTCTTCACAGCTGATATTAACTAAACAGAGCTTTATTTTAGGTAATAAAATATCTGTCTGAAAGCTTTGAAAAAGAAAACCGAATTGTTTTACTTACCATTTTGAAAGGAAAGAGAGCCTCCCTTCGTTTTTGTTTATTTCTTGACTTAATTTACTTACGATTCTATTTAAAAGAAACACAAAAACAGTTTAAAAAAACTCCTCGAAACCTGTCACTTGTCAAAGCAGCCAAGTCATTTTCTCAGCTGCTTTCCCTCAGTATTTACTAAATTAAAACTAAATTGTTTATTATGTGGTAAGAACACTGACTTTACCGTCTTATTGCAAAGTAGCACCACAGCACATCCAATCGAAAAACAGACTTTTTTTACCCAGATAAAAGCCCATGTTACTGTGCCACGTTTAAAAATTCACCTTAAAGCCAGGAAGCCTCAGAATCTCTGGGTGTTACAGACATCAGAACACTGCTTGAAATAATGGCCACGACATCTGTCGGATTTTGGGTGGAAAAATCAAGTAATACTTCAGGAAACAGAGTTTAGGGTTACAAAAGTAGGGATTAAATATACCCTGTGTCCTCTCCAGTCTTTTTGTGTTCCTTCCTCTGCAACCAAGTTATACTTAATCCAGGATCCCTCCAGGGCACCCCCAGCCAGCCCAGATATCTAGGATTGGGAATTCTGATATTAAATGAGTCCCTGAGAGAGTCTCTGAGGGTACAGGACAGTCATTACTGACATTCACAGGATTATCTCCACTGAGAGGGCAGTAAAGAAGTTTTCCTCTATGATAATTCTGCTTCTAAGAAAGCTTATGATGAGCCACGCTCTGGTTCTCAGTTCTCCTTATTTCTTTGTTTGAGGAATGTCTGACCAAGGAAGTCCTGTGACAGCCAAAGCGGATTGTTTACATACAACCGGTTAGAAATGTTGTTTAGGTCTGTCAGAGGCAGTAATTGTTGGAAATAAAAGCAGTATGAAAAAAAAAAAATCAGGAACTTAACATGTCTGTTTGCCTCAGGTTCTGAATTCTGTAAAATCCTGACTTCCTTCTTAATGTACAATTCTTTCCCAATGTCTCAGATTGGGTCAATCAAACTTGATACCAATATTGTAAAATATTTGTTTGTGGCCAGGCAGTTTCCACTCTATTTTGTTTTTCTTCTCCTTTTCTGACTTTTTCTGCTGCTCAGCAATAACAGTCCCCCTAGTTTTTTTCCAAATGACCTAATTTGTGCATCTTTCATGTGTAACTGCTCTTGTGGGCTGGGACAGGAGGCAGACAAGCTTTCAAGCAATGTAAGGTTAAAAACAAGCCAATAAACCCAAGCCATTTCAGGTCTGAAAAGGAGGCAGACGAGGGTGAGGAGTTGAGGATATGTACTGAAGGATCCAAGTATGAAAATACAGAGGAATAATGTAGTTTGGGGTTGTTTTTTTAAGGCAGTGCTTTGCAATCTTCTGATTTGAAGCCAATATTGTCCTACTCGCCCCTTTTGAAATACACACAAGTGTCAATAATTTCAGAAGGATTACAACCGTCTAAATCTGACATTGCTACCCAAGCAAATTGTATAGAGCAAGAAAAATGCCAGGTTATAGACACAGGGCTCCTCTTGCTCTTCTTTGCCGTGGAACCAGCTCAGGAATTTCCTTCTGCTGCAGGGGGTGAGGAAGTTGCTGTGTGAACAATAAATTCTGTGTGAGCCAGCAGGAAACCTTCTGGGCTGAGCAGTGCTCTGTGTGCACCAATGCTTTGGTCAAGAAGGGGATTATGGAACTTGTGTGTGGCTTGTTCTGTCTTGTAGAAGAGGTAGAGGGAGGATCTTTCATTATATTTAGGGGTTTTTTAGCTGAAGAAATAAAATGAAGATCAATGCTTTTAGAGATAATAATTCTTTTCGTTCAGACTTCCCTGGATGTGAATAAGAGCTGAGTCTTTGGAAGCTTTGTGGACTAAACCTGGACTGCCTGCTGCGGGGGTTTACACCCACTGGTTTTTGAGGAAAAGGCGACAGGAAAAACTTGCTCGTTTTAAAAAAAAAATTAACCATTTGCTACTTAAAATACAGCTTCAAGCTTATTTGAAATGCTCCAAAGCAATGGCTCAGAGGGGTTATTAGAAGGAGGAGAATTTCAGGAGGGTGACACTTCACAAGTAACATTATTACAGGAGGCTGGGGCACTGAGTGTGTCGCCATGGGGGGAAGGAAGTACCAAAACCACAGTGCTCTCCGAGCTGTGGGAGTGGATGATGGCAGAGGATAAGGCAACAGCACTTGCAGAAAATGTTACTCAGACTTCTCTTTCTACCTCCTCCACCAGTTGCTAAACTTAAAACTGGCAGGAAGTTGAAGCTTAAAGAAACCCACACAGCCAGCCCCCAAAGCTGCCCTCCAAAAATGGCTTTTGTGCACTTAGCTGCAGATCCTGGTGTCAGGAGTAAGGTCCACTTTATGTGTGTTGGGATAAAGGATTTAAGATGGGTAGGAGAGATAGAATACAAAGTCCTCAGGGCCAGGAAGTTGCATAGTTACATACTGAGCCCTGTCAAGAGCTTAGTTGGTGATAAAAGTCGTTGGTTTGGCTTTTGAGAAGAGTCTGTTGGGCAGATGTAATGTGTTACATTGGCTTTAAAACTGATTATCAGCTATGTTCTAAACCTTGCAACAACCTTTGGCATCCCAGCTGAGGGAATTTAAAAAGAGAAAACTCAAATTTTCTCATTTAAAAAGAGAAAGGCTGCACAGATTCCTTAATTTTTTTTGGTTTGAACTTCGACTCTTCTGGAAGTAGCACAACTTTCAGACTGTGCAATGTTTGTAGGCTCTGAACGTGCCCCACTCAGAGCTCAGCTCACTGACTGAGCTGGCACATGCCAGGAGTGCAGTGATGCTCTTCCTGTCGCTGGAAATTTTCAGGAGAGCTGTGGGACATAGTTTTGAGTGCTGTGGGATACAGTTTTGAGTGCTATAGGATATAGTCTGGGTGTTATGGCCTGTGGCTTTCTGAGCAAGGCTGAAAATTCCAAATTTCAGGTTGACCAGCAGCTTGACACAGAACAGTCAAAGGGATCAACAGCCTGCCTTGACCTCCTGAAAACCTGGAAATCTTTCCTCTAAGACAGGAAACAATAGGAGTGGCAAAGACCAGCTTCAGTGTTTATATCATGTATCAAACAACCACCAGAATTATTTTTAATTTTTAATGAGATCTTTGCTTTTTCTTCTTCATTAATTCTGACCACATTAAGTAAGGCACATTCTGTTGAATTCTGAATGAGCTTTAAAATATTTTTCAAGACTCACATTTGTTATCCACAAGTTGAAACCTTTATGACCCTCTGTGACTGCCAATAGTGTTAATGAGCAACAGGAAAACTTTATATGTCTCTTAAGCTGTATATTGGCTTCTTGTTTCATTAGATTTATTATCAAAACATTAATAACACCTTCATGATTAGGTCTGAGTTTCATTTAAAGCTTAGGGCAGATATTCCACGCCTGCTCTGTGTAGAATATGCCATATCCTCTCCCAGTTTAACCAATGTCCCTCTCACTCTTTCAGGACAATGTGTGTTGTTTGTGAGGCTTCAGTTGTGTCTTTTAACTGAATGGTATTAAAATACTGATTTTCCTAGCAAAGTTTTCTGCGAAGAGTTCAGCCCTTTTAATGGAGAATTCTAAACATTTTAAGGATTTTAATTTTCAAAACAGTGCTTAAATCCTTGTCTTTGCTTCATTTGGTTTTTAAAAACAAGCCAAAAGTTTTGTGAAGATGTGCACCCGTGACAGGGCTGGTGGAGATTAACTTCCAAATTAATAAGTCTCTTAGTAATAACACAAGACTGTGGAGTTTTTTAATTAGCTTCAGGAAATGACCTGTCATACTCTGCAATGGCAACTCTTAGCTGCTTTGTCTCCTTAAAAGCCACAGAATCATCCCCAAATAATGACACAGTGCTATTCAGGATCTGAGCAGCAGGTTTGCTCAAACATAATTTTCTATTAAAACCACACACCCAGCTCGGGAGGTCTGTGCAGAGGGAGGCTGTGGTTTGCAAACCTTGCATGGTTGCAGTGCTGGGTTCTGTTCTCAGCCCTGCAGCTCAGTCAAACCCTGCTAAAGCTACAGGAACAACCTCTTCTACAAGGACCTTTTATTCATTTCCTCACTGGCCAGCACTGGGAGTGTAACATTTGCTATTTAAATGAAGCTTTTTTTGCAGAATGTGCTCAGATTTCAGCGCTGCTCTTAAATATCAGGCACTGTAACTATAATATGCTGATGCTCTTTCAGCTTGTAGAAAAACTCTTCCTCCTAGTTGAGGTTTGTATTATGACAGAAAAGAAAACTGTGAATATGTTCTAGTGGAAATCAACAGCAAGGACTTTCTGTTTGGGTGAGAATGGGGAGGTTCTGGAGTAATGAAACTAATGGTAAAATAAATGGCAGGTTCTTCTACCCATGAATTTTATCCTGGGGTTTTGTTTTGGGTTTTGGCAGCTTGGGTTTTTTTTTTTTCCCTTTTGAATTGATTTTTTGTTCATTTGTTTGTTTTTTCTTGGTGGTACTGTTGTTGTTGTTGTTGTTGTTGTCACTGTTGTTGGTTTGGTTGTTGTTTTGGTTTGGGTTTTTTTTTTTGTGGGAACCAGTTCTCTTCCCTATTACAGCTCTAAAGTCTTGTTTTAAACAGTGGCTTTACATGGAGGACTCCCCATGACACCACCCTTTTTGCAGGTATATTCACAATAATCTAGTGAATTTTTTTCCTTGTTTGTAAGTGTGGAGAAATCTGAGAACAGGGGCCTTAGTTCCAGAGCTTTCCTTCAGATTTAATGATTTTACTTATTTATTCAGTTCCTCGAGTTGTGCACCAAGCTTCACTCTTCTTTTAAAGCTCTTATTCTTTCAAGTTCTCATTCAGAAACCCAAAAAACCTCACTAGAAAAGGCTGTTCATTTTCTTTTACAAGGTAAATGGACTGGGAAAATCAAATTTTCAAAGCATTGTTGGGACAGATGAGGAGACAGGAGAAACTCCACATTGATAGATATCATTTTATGTCTTCACCTATGGCATCAATATCTCTTGTGTGGGAGGGTTATTAGAACACCCTCTGACCACTTTTGACTCAGGAATTTGAAGGGAAATCACCAAAAGTTCTCAAAATTGTAAGCTCAAACAATAAGAACATGAGGCTATTTTGCCAAAGGACTGTTAAGGAGGGACAAAATATCAGAGAATTACAAGCAATGTGCTTTACAGGAGGGTAAAATGAGTTTTTCACAATCTGGTCTCTCAGTATCAGTAACATTGTTAAATGTTGCTTTTAATAGACAGTGAGTTCAAAAATTCTGAGACATCAGGGCATTTTTTTTCATAACATCTGGACCCCCTTCCTAACACATCATACCCCACCAATCCCTGTTATTGGGATATCTATTGTGTGAAAATATAGATCTGATTTTAAGAAACTTGTGATGTTTGAGGCTCTCAAGTTCAAGTCCTTGCCTATCTGATCAAAAATGAGCAACAAAAAACCAGCTATGTTGGAAAAGCTTGAATTCCCTTTTTTTTTTAACCTCCTTGTTTCTTTAGAAGACCATGAGGAGCTCCAGGTGTCTCATGGTCAGGAACCTCCTGACCTCCAGCTTAAATATATAGCAGAGAACTCACAGCAAAATAACCCCCTTCGTTTTTTTCACCATGAAATATCAGAAAAAAAACTGATTTCTGTGTTTCTGACTATTGGCTTAATGAGATTATTGTTCTTCATTTGATAACTTCCATGAAACTCTGAAAGGTACTCATATGAATCGAGAACTTCCTCAAGGCGTGAAGGAGCCAAGGAAAGCTGTTTAACACCCAATCACATGTTTCCAGACTGATTTATCTTGAACACCTACCTAAAGCAAAAACCACATGATGAAAACCCTTTGAACTCCTCAACTCTTGTGGACTGTGCCTGACTTGTTTTTTTCCCCTTTGAGTCCAAGTCAACAGTTAAGCAGTGAACAGTTAAATCACACTTCAAAGGGAATGCTTGCAAGAAAAGTTCAACCTTTGTGTAGTTGCTCTCAGTCAAAGGACTTATGCACAAGTTCTTTTGAACATCCCCCAGACAGCCTTTTTGTATGGTATCATCGTGCTTCAGCAGTCATGACAACACTCCTCCTATTTTGGAATATTCTGCTTTTTCTCTCGGCACACTCCAAGAAACGGGTCTCTGACCAACCGCTTGCAAATCATTTGCCTGATATTTCCTGCGAGTTTTCACTGCAAACCAGCTGAAATAATTTTAAATATTGAAGTGGTTTGGCTTTACTTACGGCACTCGGAGTTTGGGAAACTTCTGAATGTCGTTTTCAGACATGTTCTGAAAAGGAAACACACGGCACACATCACAAAACTGCCCACGGAACACCCTGAGACTTACAGAAGTTTGCATAGAAGAGCTCATTAATTACCATTCACATAATATTTAAGTGACTTCAGAAGTAGATACATTGAATCCCTTCATGTCTGTGTCGTGAAATCAGGCAAGACTGTGCACGACTGCAAAGTTTCAGGGCAAAACTGCAAATTTTAAGATAGAGAACCATTGGCTGGAGTTTTGTTCTAAGATCTGTAACATCAAGACATGTAGCTGGAAAATTCCTTGGACTTCAGAGGAGCCTTGGCAACCTAAGAAAAATCATTCTAGAAACTGGGATGGGGAGGGGGAGAGTGTTTCTTCCCCTTTGAACCATCACACAGCAGTGGGATTGGGATCACTCCCAGCTGTTCCAGAGCTTTGCTGATGCTCCTGCACAGTCACCCCTTCTCTTCTTCCAGCACAAGCACCTTTAGGGCACATTCAGGCCTTGTGAAAACTTTGGACTTAGTTAATTCAGTGTTTTGTTTAGTTAATTACAAGCTTCACAAATTCTCTTTGGAGCATGGGGGACAGTTTGGTCCTTTCCATCTTTTTTACTGGCAACAATAAGTTTCTAATCACAATGGAACAACGTTGATTTAAACCCCCTGGGTCTTTGCTTATTGGTTTTAATGCTCTTAAACTTCACTGATTTTGTGTGTTGCTACAGAAGAAATCTAATTTTATCTCCAGAGGAATGAAGGAGTGATTACAATGCAAGGCCAGTCATTCTGCACAGGGCTTTGTCTTCTTTGGTATGAGAGGACAATTAACAAATGTGGGACTTCTGTAGTTAATATTTGAAAACGAGAACTTCCTATAAAGGAAGAGATGAATTCAAGACAAGGTTGTGGTTTTAAAACTTGTCAGTTTGAAAAATACTAAAAAAATATGCATATTGAACAACACGCTTGGGTTCCCAGCTTTCCATATTTAAAGCAAGATGTCTGGCTGATTTTAGCAAAAGCATGTACTTCCCAAATTTCCACCTCAGTAGCCACCTGGGATATGAGTGCTCTGTATCTGCCAGTGCAAAATAAGGAGGAGACAAAACAGTCACTTGATTGGGATTTTACAGGAAGGAATTTTATAACTCCACTTACCAGAAACCTTTGTCCATTTATGCTGTGCTTTCTCACGACTTTCTCACAGTCCTTGTACTTTAGCTGTCAATGAAAAGAAGATGATTATTGCACCCCTAATTGTAAGTATCAATTGAGACACTTAAATACATGGCTGGCTTTGAGTAGATGCTTCGAGCTACCCTTTTGTGTGTTATGACCTGTCTAAATGGCTCGTTTGGTTCCACAAACATGGATTTTTATGGCAGAGATTCTTCAGTGGACTTGAGGATTTTTCATCCATTTAGAAAGATGTAATTCCTCACATTTACCAACCATCTCACAGTTGCCTGGCCCCAAGAGATATTTAGAAAATGGATATTTTGGTACTGACGGGGATGAGCAGTTGCAGAAAACAAGAATTACAGCAAAAACCTGGAATACTAAAGGCCTGACCCTAGTCACAGAATTCACTGTTGTGATTGAAAGGCCTCCAATCCCAGATGGAAATCCCACTTGTTAATCCTGGAAATTACTTATAATATTTGGGAAGCTTTTCCACAATATTGTTTTACAATAATATTTAGGACAAGGGCTGGTCATGTACAGGTTGATTATGTAGCTTTAAACATTTCCAGTAGATGTCTTAAGTTTTTTATTTTTTTTTTTTATTTGACCAGTAACAGCACAATATAAGAACACAACTAATATTTTTGGTCTGGCTAGAATGCATTTTTCCATTTCAAGTTGATCAAGTTCAAAGCAGAAGGAACCCAAAGAGCAGGCAGACAAAGTGATTTTTGGAGGCTTCGAGGCAGAAGAATGGCCCTTGTCCAGGCTGAAACTTTAGTTAGTGAAAGTTATGGAGGCAAATGATCCTGTGCTGCTGGGATAATTCCCCTAAAGCAGAGAACATCTTACAGGGAACGTTGTCCTTTCGTAGCTCTATCCCAGTTTTTCTGTTTAAGGAGTAATCTTGGTGTGAGAATGGATCCTGAAAACATCTAAACAGCAGAGAGAATATTTTTAAGAGCCAACTCTGCTAAATATTTCAGGATACAGATTAAGATTTTGTGCAGGCTGAGGACTTAAACCTGTGAGTAATTTCTTTCAGACAATAAGCACTATCATGGCATTGTCAGCACAAGTCTGTGCAGGGGGAGCAACTGCAACACTTGGGACTGAGACCTGAACTCATTCTTAAACCAGTTGATGGAAAATACTGTCTAGCTATTAAAAATAATCTTTGGGATATTCCAAATATGAACATTTTTGCTTTTTCTAAAAAAAAAAAAAAAAAAGAAGAAAAATTAAAGACTTTGGAAATTATTTGAAAATTTGGGGGTTTGTTGGTTCTTCCCTCTTTTGAATGCATGGTTTGATTTAACACAGGCTTTAAGTTAGCACACCTAGAATGATGAATTAGATGTTATTATTGATAAGAATGAAGAGTTTGTATTTGACAGACAGTGAGGACTTTATTCATGCCCTAATGCATCACAGTATTGTCACATAAATTCCTGATGGGTGTGCTGGCTGAGTTTTGCTCATGTGAAGGAGTAAGCCAACAATGAACTGATGAAAATCGTACCCTGTGTCATGAGTAAATCACGTCAGGTGATAGAAAATTGGAAGATGATTGTCCTTTGAATATTATTCCACAATTAGCTTATTTGAGAAGGAGAAAAAAATGCTTTTTCCTCTTGGAGTTGAATCCTGGCCTTTGATAAATTTTAGTGATATGTGTGAAGGAAATTATATGAGTTTATCGGGGGAGATCTGGTCCCTTATGAGAGGTGAATTAGCCTGAATTAGGCTGACATTGTTGTCTTACCCAGATTTCTTAGATGATTTAAAGCAGCTTGTGCCCTGATTCACTTCTCCAAATGTGGAATGCCAAGATTATCTCTGTCCTGGGGGGTATCTCAATCAGTAAAAGACAGCTACTAAACAATAAATGTAACCACGTCCATTCACTTATGGTAGAACTGACAGTTAACCCGTTTATCTCTGTTCAGAATATCAAGATCAGCTCTTTCAGGAAGCCACTTCCCTTCTTAATTTCTTGGAAATGGGGATATAACCCCCCTCACTGCATCAGAGTTGTAATGTTTTTCGTATTTGTCTGAAGTTACCTGTTGATAATGATCTCATCTGTTCCATCTCCAGTTTTTGGTTTCACTTTCCTGTGCCACCAACCCCTGCCCGCTAAAATTAGGGGTTTGTAAGTAGCTGGCAATTTTACTTCTCTGTGTTTGATCTGCTTCAGTTTTGCATTCTAGTGTCAAACTTGCCTCAACTCCCCCAGATAAAAATCTCTTTATAGAGTTATAGGAGCTGCTGAAAAAATAAACTTCACGTGATCCCAAAATGAAGCCCAAAGTGTCCCAAGGTTTTACAAGTCCAGCCATGGATGCCATTAGCAAAGACATTGAGGCTCATTTGTGACGTGGAGCAATTTGGGGGAAAAAAAGCTCTCTTCTGAAAATCATTGATGATGCCACAGAAAACTTGTAATCTTCACACCTTAATGCCTTCCACAGCTGTTAATGTTACACCAACAAGCAATAACGTAGCTGCAAAGTGTAAAGCCACCAGTTTCTCTTATACCCAATTTAAAAAGCACTTTCAAGCTTCATTTATAGATTTCACTGCCCAGTTTGGCTCAGCTTTTTTATCCGACAGCGGTTTTGCTTTCGGTGCGGCTGCAAGCTGTGCCCGTTGTCAAAGACCTAAATCTGGCACAGGCAATGTCACAGGAGCTTCCTCCTGGGTCACACGAAGGCAAAACCCCAGTTAAACTCACCGTCCTAAAATACTCTGCCAGGTCATCCGCGTTCCAGGTCACCACGTCCGAGCGGTAGGGAATGTTCCGCAGGTCCATGGTGAGTTTTTCCTCCTCTGGGTGCTCAGAGAGTGTTCATAGCAGTGCTATCAATGAACCAGCCATGGATTCCCTCTGTGTGAGCCCTCCCAGCCTGTCCAGGAGTTCCTTGCCCGGCTGGTTCTGCCAAAGACCTGCCCTTTCTGCTTCAGAGCTCCGTTGTTAGGACGTTCCAGAGAGAGATGCTGCTTCCTCTGACACAAAATGGTCTCTTCTCAGAAAAGTTGCAGCCAGTCAGCCTCACCACTTCCTTTCTCTGAACATAAATAAGTAAACAAGGAAGCACAGCAAAGTGGTGAGAATGTTCTGCCTGCCACATATAAGTCAGCTCCTATGGACCCTGTGTGCTTGGAATTGCATATATTAATGTTCTTGTATTTACAGACTCTGTACAGCATAAAAATATTGCTGTGTTATCTGCATAGACCTGGGTTACTCCCTGTGCAAGTTTACCCCTCCAAAGAAGAAAATGTTCACTTAAGAGAAACTTCTATTTACCTCACTACCTGAAGTGTCCAGTACATTTCTTTGATTTGTACTGCAATAAAAGGTTATTGTTGGAATTGTGCAGGAGGAATTCAGGACTCATGGAATTATGGTCAGAATTCCTTCAACTAAGGAATCACTCACTGAAACTAAAAAAAAAATAATGGACAAGTTTAGATGGCAAATTATTACATTGCCATTGTTCCAATGCTTTATTTTTCAGCTACCTCTTATGAGCATTTCTGTGCCTGAAAAAGAATCTACAAAACCATAAAATTATCAGAGGGTCACGAGAGACTTTCATCTGTCATGTACAGCCAATTCAGGCACCTTCCTGTCTGGAGGTCCTTTTGGTGAGATTACACTGAGTAATTACAACAGGCCTGGTTTTTAAAAACAGAATATTCATTCTCTCTTTTCTTCTTGTGATGGTGAGAATGCTCAGATCACTACTAACAAGTGCTCCACTAGGCTGCACAAAAGGTGATAATCTGTGCCCCGTACTAGTTACAATAGGTGCATAGTCCTAAAACACTGGAAAGTTTCTCTTCTTTCTATAATGATCAAAGAAATGCTTATTAGATGCTCCCTTGCTTCCAGTCCCTGAGGACCTTCTAACCCTGGATCTGTAATCTGCAACTACGTTGCATATGAGTGCACATATTTGAGATCAGATCTTCATGGTATTCAAATAAGAGCTTTCCTTTTGAAATCCACAGGCTGATATAAAGTAGCTTACTCCTTTTTCTGGAGATATTTTGGTCCCAGCTGTTCCCAGCAGTGCAGCATTTCTCAACCCCGTGACACAGCCGTGTTTTCTGGGTTCTTATCTGAAGTGATGTGAATCATCTGAGGCGTGTCCTGACAGTATCACAGAAATATCATCACCTTCAGGTTTGGGGATGAAACAGGACTAAATGAACTCCTGCCAAAGAATCCTGAAAGGAGAAGTTGCTCTCCTGGTGCATTGTCAGCAGTGGTGAGGGGGAGGTTACACGACTCCATCTCGGACATCCCAACACATCCTCTGCATTTCAGAGAGAGACAAGTTTCTTACAGCACAGGGACAGGAAGAAGCCTGTGCTATAATTTCTAATTGTTCATTCTAATACAGTGTTTCATTACCTTTAATCTGATTTCTATTCCAAATTGTCTTAGTTTAACAAGATTACAACTCAGAAACTGAGAAACTTGTGTGGAAGTGTGGAAAAGAAACAGCTTTTTATTAACAAAATCTGAATAAACAACAAATGGTGCAATCAAAAACTTTCAGGAGAAACAAAACGAAGTCCCAATTCCCCAGGTGGGGGAAGAAACCCAGGGCAAGCTGGGGAGGGGGTGGGGGAAAGGCAGGACTGTCCCAGCAGTTCAAAAGCCGCTCTCAGCCACGTGTGCTCGCAGCCAGCAATGAAAGAGTCTTTTTTCCCACAGGCAGACTTGAAAGCAGAATCCCTCACTCTGAGATGGGTTGGTCTCTCTCTCTCAGTTGTCCTCCGTGAGGAGGAGTGTCATTTGTACTAATATAAAACTCATTAGCCTGGCCAAAATTTATTCTGGTGACGTTATAGAGGAATTGCAGCATCATTTACTCTGATGCTGAGCAAGGAGAAAAGCAGTCACCTCTAAAGTCAATCTAGTCCAGAGAGCAGCTAACACAGAAGTTCTAACACATGCATCTCCTCATTGTTTGCTTGGATCCTGTCTCTGCCCCGTGAGTACATTACAGCCACATGCACATTCCAGGCAGCTTACAAAGCCCAGCTGCACATGCACTTGAGCTTTGTCTTTCTCTGCAACTTCTTTTGCAATGTTACAAACACATCAGATGTGGTGGCCAACAGAGGCTTTCTGAGGAAACACTTGAAACACCCCTACATTTGAATTTGCAGCGATACTCCCAGACCAGTGTAACCACTTTAAACTGCACTTCCAGCCTATGTGTGTGTTTGAAGATGCCAGTGGGAAATGTTCAACTCACCATGCATGAGTGACGACCCCCAGTCCCAACCAGACTGCTCTTTTCTCTTTTATTTGCTCCTCTGTTCACTCTTCTCACTTGTTTGTTATTCCTCTTTCTCTCTTCACTGCTGTTACCTCCAGAATTATCACGTTCTCCCACATGTTCCTGTTTCCCCCTCAGCTTGGAGAGGCAATTTCAGCACGGCTGGTCCCTGAGAATGGACATCAAGAGAGAAACAGCTGAATGTCCACAACTGTGCCAGAATCTTTAGTCAGATTTGGGTGGGAGCGTAAGGGAGGATGTCTGGGAAGCCACCACATGGGATTTGTTTGGAGGAAGACAGGTAGACTCGAGCACTGGGGCAATTAAGTGAACCCCAGCCAAGCAGACAGGGCCACTGAGGGTTCCTGGGGCAGAATGTCAGGTTTGACAGGACACATGCAGAAATTTGGTGATGATTAGAGGAAATCCTAACTGTCTGCTGGGACTGAGCACATGCTTTGAATCTTAGGAGTTCAATTTTATATTTCAAGAAATGAAATAGGCAGCACAAGACACATCTGTTCTATAACATAATTTGTTATATAATTCAGTTGGCAATCTCATCAAGTGGGTTTTAAACTCTTAGATTTTCAAATGCTGAGAAACATTGATATTGCAGCTATTATCAGGTGCATACATTTCCACTGAGACCTTTTTTTTTTGCACTCTTTTTACAAAGTTGGTGTTTTAAAGGCATTTTATACCCTGCAGTGGCACAACCTTCACATAAAAAATGTGTCTCCTCGACAGCAGCTGCCAATGGTACAGCTCTTCTGATGCAGTGATGGTCTGGTGACTGATGTTTGAAAATGTGAGAGTCAAACCATTTTAGGCAACGCAGGGGGGAAATTCACACTGCTCACATTCTGCTGCCTTCAAACAGCAACGATGTTTCTCATTTTCTCTCACCTCTTTCTGGCGGTGTCCTGCCCCTGTTTTAAGTGGAGTCAAGGGCTTGCTCTGAACAGCTTTCAGAATGGTTTATTTTTCTAGAATAACTCAGGTTACGTGTCTGTTTCCCCACTATTTGCTGTAAAAATAAGGTAAATAGTTAGAGATATTCTAAAAAAGAGTATTGTTTTCTCTGGTATATGACTTATTCACTCTGTTGGGGTCATAAATGGCATAATGTGTCTAGTTTGTTTAAAGATGCTGCCAAAAAACGCAGAGAAGCCCCAGCAAACCTCAGCAAAGACGTCTACTGAGGAAAGACTGAACAAACCCTTTGCTTAGTGTGAGAAAGGGAAGCTGGAGATGAGGGAAGGAAAAAGGAGGCAAACTTGGTGACTCTGGGGGACAGCAATGAGCTGCTCTTGTGACCTGTGAAAGGCTGTGCTCCCAAGGAAAGCTGCTGAAGCTTGAGAAGGAGGAACTGTGGACTGAGGAATTCTCCTGCCCAGAGCCTGGGCTGGTCAGTGCAGCTCAGCTCAGTTCATCCAGTGCCAGCTGTGCTGTGACACTGAAGGGGCCAAAAGCCCAGCTGGAAAGGAGGTTGTGTTTTGGATACGAGACTTCTCTGCTAATACAGGATTTGCCAGGCACAGAACTCCACCAGTGAACACACTGGCTTTGGATTTGAGTGTGTAAGTTTGACAGAGTTAAGGGTGAAGATGAAGAAAGTTAAAACCACACCCCTCAGTCTGGAGTAACTGCTCCGATCCTCCCCGCCTGGCACAAAGCACAGGATTCCTCCTGCCAGCTCCAGGAAAGACTCTGCCAAGGGGGCAGTTGGCAAGACCTTGGCCCTGCAAGGCTCCAGTCACCCCCAGGGCTCTCGTCCACTGGCCCAGCTCCCTTTTGCCATAAAGCTCCTGCTTTAGCTCCCAGCTGGCCCCTGGCACTGCTGTGTCCCTCAGAATTGGGCTCTGCTGGAAATCAGCATCCCTGGGAGCTGCTATTCCCAGATGGAGCTGAAGCCCAAGGTATTCCCATTCAGTGCTTCCATAGCAAGCTTTGCCTTCCATCTGCTTTGCCTTCTTTTATTTTCTGGTGGGGTTTTTTTGGTGCGTGTTTATTGAAGCAACTCAAAAAACCCCAAAACTGTTCTTTTGCAGCAAAGACAACTGGACAGCAATAAAAATGGCAATTTTTATTTCATCAAAGTTTTTTAAAAAGCAGTATTTCAAGTCTATCCACCTATTCTTACAGCTAAAGAAATCATGATTATTTTAACTCAGCCTGTTTTTTGATATGTTCATCAAATGAACTATGGATACCCATGAACAGCTTCTTGGCTCTGACATTCAGACTGTAAATGATCTTTTTATTTAAACAGGCAGTTGTTTTAACCCAAACAAAGCCAACTCTATAGAAATTGCAGAGTTACACTGTAAACTGGTCGACAAGGTGGGATTTTGGCCACTGTACCCATCACAAGGAAGGCTTGTGGAGTGAATGCTGCAGTTGCAGGGCATCTTGTCCATTCACAAACCCAGAGTGGATTCTGGTCCTAGCAGGATATTTCCAATTCTCTAAATATTTCAACAGCTTACTGACCAATGAGAAAAGCATTTGTGATTTTGCAATGCTGAGACAAAGGAAAAAAGCTCCAACAGCTTTTACGCTGACGTGCTCATTTCAGACCTTCACGGGTAAAGATTTTGCCA